CCCACTGTGAGGGTGGGGAAAAATGCAAAAGAACACGGAAGCTTCTACTATTTCTTCAACGTTGAGGGCTTTAGGACCTAAATAAGTAGAACCAGGGAAAAGACCACGTAAGTGGCTGTAGGATTTGGGGTTTAGGACTAAAGCTTGAGGTTTGGGGTATACGGGGGTTGGTCTAAATGGACCCCGGGCAGGCCCTGGGGCATACATGGGAATTATAAGGGGATTGTGGAAGGATCCTTCTTAGGTATCCTTTAATAGGGCTTAGGGTTTCGGGGTGAGGGTACCTTCTATGTGATTATAGTGATGCAATGTCTTTGTAGGTTAAGTCTAGAAACTCGTGTAAAGAACATGGGAAATAGGTACCTAGCAGAAAATGGTATGGCGATTGGTCCAAGGAAAGACTATTCTGAGACATGATTTTGTCAATCGAGTTCAGAAGCGGAAGCCCGAGCACCACATACTCTGAATGGACGCAATCTTGCACCACCTGAGGTCCCTGCACTGCTGTAAAGCACAAGGTAACGGTTCAGGATTTCGTCTGGACTTATGTAGGTTCATTCCCCCAGCTATAAATAGGGTTATAAGCCCAGGTATAAGCAGGCACTAGGTGTCATGAACCGTCAGGTAGGGTTCTTGCCAATGGTCGTAGAGGGTGTAGAAGGGGAACGCATGATTTGTAGTTGCTTCCTGTCTACCGTTCATTGCAACAGCATGACGCAATGATGCGGCAGTGGTACTTTATTTATATAGCACAATATATACACGATACCATTGTCTTCCGGGCTTATACAGTGCTTCAAGTGCCTCGAGTGGATGAGGATTGTAGTGCTCTTTGTTGCCAGTGGGGTTGGCCAATTTTTGTTAGAACCCTAAACCTTAAACCCTAAACCCTGAGCCCCTAAGCCCTAAACCTTAAGCCTCAAACCCTAAAGCCCTAATCCTTAAACTCTAAACTGAGTGAGCCGGGGCCGTCGAGCAGGGCGAACGTGCGGAAGAAAAGGCCGCTCTGGAGCCAAAAGCCCTTTCGGCTGGCGACGGAGCTACAGTCCCGCAGGCAGCTGCGGGCTGCGCGGTAGACCCGGCAGGTCGCTGGCGAGTGACCCGTCAAGTCTCGCCCTAGAATAGAAAACATTTTAAACCACACAGTGCCTCCAAATCGTTCTCTTTTTTGGAGCCTTGGGCCGGGCCTCCAGCAAATCTCGGGACCAGGCGGAAACAACAGCAAAACGGGACCGCTGAGCGCCTCCCAGCGCTGGCCTCGGGGCCTAGGCCTCCAGACCAGGTTACGGCCTCAGCGCCTCCCTCTGCTCCGAAGGGGCCTCAAGCCAAACCCAAATCCTAACCTTGCACGCGTCTAGTGTGGATAGGTCCAATTGGTTCAAGGCTTGAAGGCCTCCAGGCCGGAAGCCTCAAGCCAGACCCAACCAAACCTTTTTACCCGCCTGGTCAGACAGGTGCAAAAAACAAAAACCCGTAGAAGGTTCAGGCGAGGCTGGAGCGCCAGCTTGGGTGGGCTCCTGCAAGTCGGGGTGCGAGCATGGGTGCTTCTTGCACCAGCGCACCCCCTCACTGAGACACCTTAAACCCTAAACCTTAAACCCCAAACTCTGAGCCCTAAACCTGAAGACCCATCCTTAGTGAACCCCCAAAAGGGTTTTAGGGGTTGAGTGTATAGGGTTATAGAATAACAGCCTTTTAGCTCTTCTTATATATGGTTTTCAGGCCCCTCTTGGACAAGTCTAGAGAATAACAGCCTTTTTGGCTCTTTGTTTCTGTTTTCCAGCCTATTCTTTGGGTCTAGGAAATCCTAAGCCCTAAACCCTATAAACCCTAAACCTCTGCGTGGAGCCCCGAGTGTTGCCATCTCGAAGGAGCGAAGGCCTACAGTCAACACGCCTTCTTGCATCCTGCATGTGCCATGGCTTTCAGCAAAACGGTTTAGGGTTTGCGATGTTCAGGAAGGGGTACGGCCAGGTAGGATTTAGGTTTTGGGGTTTCTAGCGGTCAGGGCTTCACTTCAGGGTTACGCCTAGGTCAGGGGGACTTAGTAAACAGGTTAATAACATAATGGACCCTACCGCCAAGGTAATAGGCCTACTTACCCCCAATATTAGCCTACTTATTCAGTTTCCCGATCCCTCCAAGTATTGTCTGTTACCTAGCTCCGCGTTGCCTTATTGGCGTACAATTGTGTTATCACGCAGCTGTTTTAGGGTGTGTAGTATCTTTCCTAGCTTTAGGGTAGGTATCTTGAAGTAAACCATGAGCGCTGTAAGCCCATGACCTTCCTGAAGGCATAAGAAAGGCTTGAACTTGCAATTTTGCAAGGAGAGTTTAAGGTTTAGGGATTTAGGGGTTCAGGGTTTAGGGTTGTTCACCCCAAAAATGTGCGTGCCCTGAAACCGTAGCAACAACTTGCACTTATCAACTTGCATGTATCCCCCTTCAGTGGTCCTGGAGCTGGCGAAGAACCCCCCCAAACCCAAACCTCCAAAGATTGGGCGGGCCCGTGTGGTAGCCCCGATAATAAGGAATGTAATATGTTGGGGTCAATGCTCTCAAGCTTTCACATATCATAACAGCCTTAACCCTTAGCCCTCTGCAGCTAAATTGCTCACCCCTTCAATCCCCACAACCCTTTAACCCGAAACCTAAGGTTTAGGGTTTAGGGTATCCACATTCAGGTCCCCTTGCATGCTTGCCAAGAATGCTGCAGCGGTGTACCCTTCAGAACAATCCATTGGATTCAGGAAACCCTTCTCTGAATATTCTGCAGGTATGCAAGGTGACCCTAGTTCAGGCAATCGCACATGTGTACACGCATGGATGCACCAATGTCCCTTTACTACCCTTGAAATGAAGGCGGTCCATCAATTGCTTGCGGAATCGCACTAGATCATTAGTAGAATCAGAAAAGGATACTATATCAGATGAGAACATTGCCCAGTTCAACCAAACAGAATTCAGGTGGACCAAACCTTGCACCCGAAACCCTATACCAAGGGCCCCCCTACCTGTAACCCTAAACCAAACGCTCCCTACCTGCACTGTAATTCTCAGGTGGATCAGATAGCGGCTCCATATATAGGATTCTGAATCTTAACCCTAATACAGTCTAGTCCTTATTTCTAGACACTACCAAAGTGGTCCCCCACTCTATGGAAACCCTAAACCTATAAACCCTGCACACCCTGTATCAGCCCATATATCCTCACATACCCCGTTATATAGAACTAGGCTTTAGGGGTTTAGGCTTTGCGGCTTAAGATCAGCCCCTGCAGATCCTTTAAAAGGTATTCAACAGGTGAATCCCACCTCTCAGGTGGTGCTGCAGCTCCAGCCAGCCGCAGAGTCCAAGGGCGAGGCGTTGCGAGGGGGTGGGGGGGTCCCAGGTGTCATTTGATCATATTCCCCCTTAAGTAGATAGAATATGGCGTTTGGTATATTATAATAAGATCCCCATACCCCATATTCTATCTACTTAAGGGGACTGTAGGGGTACCGCTTTGGGGAGCCCTATAATAAGGACTATATTATTTGAGATGTATGCTGGGGTCCAGAAAGCTTTGCAGGCTTGAAGCAGGCGTCCTCAAGCTTTTAAAACCTAAGCCGGCCTTGCAGGAAAGGCTTTTTTTGGACGTGATATCCTTCTTTGGTATGGAAGGGAGCAGAGGAGCCGCCTTCCCCTCGGACAGAGCGCTGAAGACCCTGAACCCTAGACCCTAAACCCTAAACCCCAAAATCCTAAACCCTAAACCTTCTCGACAGGCAGAGGGTCGTGAGACCACCGGTCCCCTGGTCTGGGAGCCCACGGATGAAAGTGTGGAGCAGGCCGCGGCCTTAAACCCTGAACCTTTACTATGTCAGGGGTTCCGGGATACATAAAGGTATACAGGGAAATGGAAAGAACATGGAAACTACTAGGGTAGTTGAGGTTGTTGTGTAAGCCCATACTTTAATGAGTATGTTACGCCCAATGATGGAACATCGGAAAACCACGTCAAACATGAAATGGAGACTGGGCTCGTGTAGTTGTTATAGGGGCTGGGGCAATTCAAATCCCATTGTGATCCTACGTTGTGGTATCTGGGTATTCTGTAAGTTATAGCTGCAAACGGAATTCAATATCAAAGTTTTGGGATGAAGGCTTCTATAGAACGAGCTTTGCCATGTTTGAGAATTTGGGGCTTCCAGCCAAGGATGGTGGGGATGTGGTTACAAGTATGCATATGAAATCTGCGCATGGACTATGTCCTTTTTTTTGAGCAGGCCAAACTGCCCTAAACCCTAAACCCTGCACCCCTATCCCGTTGGGGCCTAGGGGGCTGACAATGGCCACCTCTTGTAGCAGTTGCCAGTATCAGGATCCCTAGTCCCGTCTTATGGAAGATCAATAGGGTTTAGGGTTCAGGCTTCAAGGCCCAGCAAGAGAGGGGTCTCCTGAAGGCACCCCAGTTTTTGGAAAGCTTCATGCGTTTTGGTGATCTACAGTGGCGTTCTCTGCCAGGCGACAGCCGCGATTCGCCATGCCCTTGTCTGCGGTGACGAGATCGGCCGGAGTAATGTTTTCACTACTGGATGATTTTTTGGTGTTTTGGTATTACCTATCTATATGTATATATATATGCATTACCGTCAAACCCTAAACCTTGTAAACCCTAGCCTATGGATAAATCGATGTCACCTAGGTGATGAGATAGGCCAGTCCAGCGCGGACGAGATTGTGTCAGATGAGTGGTCGCCAGTGCGGCGGGCGCTTTTAGACTTGGCTCCTCGGTTAAGGGTATACCCTGGATTTAGGGTTTAGGGTTAGGGTTTAGGGTTTAGGCCTAGAAGTTTGGGGCTGTACTGGGCTTTAGGGCTTTGGGGTTTAGATCTTGCAGGGTTCCAGGGTATAGGGGTGCAGGGAGTCTGGATTCAGTACTTGAGTTTCGTGTTTGTTTTGCATCACCCTTTATCACACCCGATGACTCATAACCACTTACTCCAGAACCCGTCAACAGGACTGGAATCAGGGGGCGCTGGTTAAAAAAACCCTGAACCCTAAACCGCCTGGAGATCAGCCTTGGACAGGCCAAGGACATGCCCTTCCTTCACAGACCCTCCGCGGTTAAGGCTTATAGTCCCCCTTAAGTAGATAGAATATGGGTATATCTTATTATAATATACCCAAAGCCATATTCTATCTACCTAAGGGGGACTATAGGGTTTAGGGTTTTAGGGCGCCCTTGTCATGATTCTAGCTTTGGTGGACCCCCAACCCTGTAATAGCGGTACAATAGGAATTTGAGAGTCTTATCACCATCAATAGTCCCAAACATCAGGGGCCCCTTTTTGGGATGTCATTGCAGTGAGGACTATGGTACATTTGGGGGGATCTGCAAGAGGCAGACCTCCTTTCTTGGAGACTCCCTCGTGTTAATCCCCATACGAAACCCAATAGCCTTCCTACACTCCCTGCCCATGAGTGACGCGGACTATCTAGACAAGCCATGACCCAAGGCGGGGAGAGTTGATTGTTGCTGGGTTATATTCGGATTATTTGGCTTTATTCCCTACCAAGAACTAGTCAGTCCAGCTAGTTTCAGGGTCTGGGCCGCCAAGGCGCAAAACTCGGACCTCACGTTCCTGCAGTGGAACGCGCGTGCCGATGAGTACAAGGTAGGGGAGCCCACGGACGAGAGGCTTGGCCTGCTGGTGTTTGGTGTTTTGTGTTTGGGTTTTAGGGTTTGCCCCTGGGGCGTTAGGGTTAGGGTTTGGTGTTTTAGGGTTTAGTAGGGCTTCAGGGTTTAGGGGTTCAGGGTTGAGGGTCTGCGGTTTTAAGGTTAAGGGTTAAGGGTTTAAGGGTTTAAGGGTTTAGGGGTTTAGGGGTTTAGGGTTTAGGGTTTGGTTTGAGAGTTTCCGGCGTCAATATGTTAAGTGTGTAATGCTTATGTACCTCAATAGTCGGACCCCTCAAAACGGGACTATCGACTTTTATGGCACGTACACAGGTGTACAACTCAAAACTCAGGGAACGTGAATCCTGATGCACTTTCCGATTTCTGGGCCCCTAAACCCTAAACCCTAATGCCTAAACCCTAAAGTAGAAGCCGCAGCTGCGCAAATAACCCACAAGCGGATTTCGAAAAAACAAAAAAAGAAGGCTCCCCTTATACCTCCAAATATGGCACAGTGCGTAGTAGAGGAACCCCCAAAAGTCATCCCTAATTTTCACACACCCCTCCCCCCCAAGCCAGCGAAGAAAGCAATCTTGAATCTTGAAGTCTGAGTTTCAACACGTGGCCCATGAAGAGTCCCTCAAGGCATCTTTACTGTCAAAGTCCCAAAATGTCCCGAGATTCCCTCTGTTACCCTAAGGGTCCAAGTACCCAATAATCATATACTTACCCAAAACCTATACTAGAATTATTATTACCCCAAACCCAAGACCCTTAGGGTTAGACAAAGAAAGTAAGCTACACATGTTGCTGTCTTGCCTGGTCGCCAGATTTCAATTCGTCCACTACGAGAAGTTTGTGAAGCTCACCTTCGAAGTACAACAACGACCAGAGACTAGCTTTGGCAGTGCTTCGCCGCGGCAAAGATAAAAATAAACGATGCTCCGTCAAAGGCAAAGGTGCTCATTTCCTGGGGTAGCCTGCCTTTGACACGAGATGAAACATGCCCGCAACGGCAGGCAAGGTGATAATCTCAAATGTCGTAGGAGAACATTACTGGTAGTGTAAACATTTACTGAGACTGATAGAAACTAACATTGCTTTGAGGTTGAATTGAGGTACCCTATACTATAATAACACAAGCGAATCTAGCACCATCATGCTGGTCATTGCCTAGGATGCTACGTAAGGCAAGTCCACGTATTGGCTGATTTCGCGCTGGCTGTTGATTGCAGATGTGAGTTTCCAAAAATTGCTGGCCCCGTCTTGGGAGTCCCCACGAGAAGTATCTTGGGTCTGCTTTTGGGCCCCCTAATTCTGGAAACCCTGTATCCTCTAGGTCTTACGAAAATATGAGTACTGTAATTCTTAGTAGCTTCAGAACTATTATCATTCTTCTTATTGCGGCTGTTATTACTTTAAAATGTACTATTACTATCATTATTACTGTTGTTATTGGACTTATGTCAGGATTTGGGCATGCTCGGCGTCTGCCGGAAGGCCACTGATCAGAGTTTGGGATTTCGGGCTCAGGGTTTTGCGGGTCAAGGTTTCAAAGTTGGGGGTTCGGGGTAGAGGTGTTTAGGGGTGTGCTTAGGAATAGTGGGCTTGGGCTCGGGGAACCGGAGCTTTGGGGTTTAGGGTTCTGGACTTTTGGAGGGTTTGTGCAGGATAGGTTTCTGGCTTACGGCCACGTTCGTCCTTCACATGAGCTACGGACTGAATTTAGGTTGGGGACCTGGGGATATATAGGGGGGCATAGGGGGACCTATTTAAGGGATATACTGCAACTTTATTTCAGGGCTCACTTCCTGATTCCTAGGCGCCGCCAAGCAACAGACTTGTTCGAGGTTTGGTCAGATAGGCCCCTAAACCCTAAGACTCAAACCCTAAACTATCAACCCTAAACCGATGCCATCACAAATGTGTGTTCTCAGGCGGAGCCTCGATTCCTTGTCAACCACCAACCTCAGGTAGCCATGGATTGCAATAATTAGGGTTATATGGGGGTTATATTGGGGATTGTGGAAAAGAAAATCGAAACTACTTAAATAATACCTAGTCATAATCAAGGATGATAGTCGCAATGATGAAACCCTGATCTTGTCAGTCCTGGAGCAGATTTCTGTCTGTACGCTCAAAATGCCACTCACACTAGCAGTTGCTTCAGTTAATGTAGGGGTTATATAGGTGCAATATAGGGGTTGTATAGGGGTAATATGGGGGTTGTATAGGGGTAATATAGGGGTAATATAGCGGTTTTATGGGGGTTATGTAGGGGTAATTTACAGTACTGTAGCAGAAGCATCGAGTAGTTGGAGTAGTCGGTTCAGCAGCTGAAGCCGGCGTAGCAGCTGTGAGGATTTCAGCAACGGACATGATATGTGTTTCTATCATTGCATGGCTTACTTTCAGGTTTAGGGTTTAGGTTGGGTACTGCCCCCCCTCGGTAACAGTTGGAGAATAATTAGAATATGGCTATATATAGCCCTTAGTAGGACCCCTAATGGAGACTGTCACTGGGTGGGACAGTACCCAAGGTTTAGGGTTTCATTATTGCTGTCCAGAGTCCTGTGTAGGCCCCTTATTGTCTTGAAACTCATTGATGATTGCACGGTCCAGGCGGTTAAGGGTTCAGGGCTTGGATCGTTAAATCAGGAGGCTCAAAAGGTAGCG